TTTTCCTCAGTTATCGTATTTCTTATGTTGCGGTAATTCTGCCAATAGTCATGTAATCGGTTGCATGCAATTGCATTACAATATACTAACTTTCAAGTTTACAGTTTCACTGCTCCGTATATGAGAAAATGATTCCTAATATCAAATTAGATTCATTGGTAAAAGTGCATAAATAAAAAAAGGAACCATGGAAGGTGGTCGTTGGTTTTTTCGATTGTAAATATTTAATCAGTTTGACGGGGATTACGCCTACTACTTGGTGATTTTCAGTGGGCTATAATCGTTTTGTAATGAAAGAATATGACAACCGTGAAGAAGAGTTTTTTTCTTGTAAATCTTGTTTGAACCAATCACACTTTTTAAGTCGATTAGTGAATTCACTTTGAGAATTTTTAGCTTCTCCGAACCTGACGAATTCCTTGGAGATTCGATGGGAAAAGCAAAACATCAAATCTAAAAAATTAAGCTCGAAAATAAGGCATGCAAACAGCATTCTACTAAGATCTCCAAAATGTCAGTAATCTTAAATACGGCAGTCGAACTAAAGCCCCACCCCAGATGGGAGCGAACCGTGTTAAGCCCGGAGATTGTAAGGAACAATGGGTCCATGCTCAATGGTACATTGTGCTGCTGGATAGATAGGATAACGGCCACTAGCTAGGTTAAGTGCTAATACACGGAAGATATAGCTTCCGCTCAAGTAGTGTCCTTTTATTCCTAGTGTACGAGGTTCGAATCACGCCAACGTCACCTAATTTTGATCGCAAACAGCTTCCCAATCGTCCATCTCGGTGCCACGTCTGACCTAGCGGAGCTCGGTGCAGTGCACCACTCCAAATCCCCGGGTTGCCGGTTTCCAACAGTGAACATGCTCTAGTGGCTATGTGGTTTACCCTGTCTGCTGTTCGTCACACAACTCATATTAAAATATGTGACAAGCGATCACAGACGATCGGCGTCAATGTGAGACCATTTTTCGTCTGGGAGAAGGAAGCGATGAACGGTCAAAGAAAGCGCCATAACGTGTGAGAGCCTGACTAAACACTGAGAGTAAGGCCATAGCCTTCCTCATCAGACACTTGATGCAAGCGAAGCGCTTAATTGTACAAACACCTGAACTGTATTATCGAAGGAAAAGGCCTACTGTTATACATCCTCAAAACCAGCGTCGAGTTGACGAGAATCATGTTTACAAAAACGACCAGTATGGATGAATTGGGCCACATAGAACGATGCGTCTCATCCAAAACAGATTGATCATACTTCCCGCAAACGCTGGGGACAATTGGTAGAACATAGTTCAACGGTCGATTTGTATATTCTGTAGTTAAGATTTTGTATACACTAATTCACTGCAGGTCTTGTCCATTTTTTAATATTGTAAGAACCGACAATCACTGCCCCTTGCACGTGTCAAACATACTGGTCGCGGATGAGAGTAGCACCTCACAACATCAGCGGTACTAGGGATGCCGCAGTGTACGACATTCTTAAGCTTTCGCACAACTTTGTGCACCAAACCGAATAATCCACATACTGAATCCAGAAAACAAATTACGAATCATGACATAAAATCGTTGCATCGAAACTGCAGTGTTTGAAAAGGATCTCATCTCCAGGGGTAGATAATATCCATCCACAGACCCTTATCAACCTGGCGAGTAACTTAGCTAAACCACTAAGCAACCTATTCCAACAAATGTTCAACAAAACTACGCTCCCAAAAACATGGAAACATGGGATTACCTCTCCGATATACAAAGGCGGTTTTCGTAGCGACCCAGCTAACTACCGTCCCGTTACTCTCCTCCCCGTATTAGCCAAAGTCATGAAATCCATTATGGCAGACAATGTGATGAGTCACTTGGAAAAATACAACCAGTTATCCCCTGCTCAACATGGGTTTCGTCGCAGGCCATCGTGTATCACCAACCTGCTTCTGATCCGAGAAGAGTGGACAAAAGCAGCTGATCACGGTGATGCAGTGGACGTCGTGTACCTCGACTACTCCAAAGCATTCTATCGAGTGAACCATAAAATACTTCTGAAGAAACTACACAACTACGGAATTCGGGGACTTGTACTGGGCTGGAGGGAAGAGTTTCTTCGACAACGCACCATGGTATTTCGGGTTTCTGGTTCACTTTTCTGATCCCATCAGCGTATCACGAGTGCTGGGCCCTCAACTTTTCCTTGTTTTCATAAACGACCTAACGGACATTCTCAGGCCGCATACATTAATGTTTGCTGACGATGTAAAAATATGGAAAACGGTGACAAAACCAGAGGACTCGCTAGAACTCCAAAGAACACTTAATGCTGCCTATCAATGGTCGATCGAAAATGATACGGAATTTAATGCATCAAAATGTACGGTCGTATCCCTTCGACACAAAACTTGATTTCCGTATTTCCTGGGAGATCAACAACTTCCGTACGTCTCGAAAGCGAAGGATCTCGGCGTCATTGTTCAAGACGACCTAAGCTGTTCTTTAAACTGTTCCCGGGCATCG